TAGTCTCTTATTTTTTCGGTATATATTTCCAGAAATAGTATTCGGATCTCTTATATATATAATATAATTTTGAAATATAATTATTATAATTATAGAACTTAATATAATTATTACAAATTCCGGAATTATAGCTAAATTTATATTAATAATTTTCGAATAAATAATAGCTTAAAGAGTTTTAAGAATAGTATTATTAATTAATAAAATAGGTTTTAATATTAATCTATTACTTCTTTTATAGGTAGTAATAAATAATTAAAGCTTATTAATAAGCTAGCCGAGTTTATTAAAAGAGTCCGAAACTATATATTAGTATATTAATAAATCTTAATAGAAAGTAATAATTTTATTATATAGAAATTCGGTATTTTATAAAATAGAAATAAAGCTATATTATAATTAATATAGGTTATTAATTAGTATTTAAATAAGTTCGAATAGTATTCTTTTAGAATATTTAGCTATTATAATTACTAAAGTAATAGTATTTCATTTATTTAAATTTTAATATTAGAAATTAGAGCTTTTAAAAAAGCTATAAATATTTATATAAGTCTTTTTATATATATATTAAAAGAACTAGTTATTATAAAAGTAGTCTTATATTAGTTCTTTTAATATAATAGGAAAAGCTCTTATTAGTACTTCTTTTAAAAGCTTTATATATTAATAAATATTAAGAAAAAATAATAAGTTTATAATTAAAACTACTATTAGTTTTATTATATTTCTATATTTCGAAATATATCTTTATTATTTTTCTAATAAGCTTTCTAGTAATAATAGTAAATACTAATTAATGGATTTTCGGGCTTAATAGTAATAATAATAGTAGTAAAGATAAAAGTAATAAATAGCTTTAATTTAAAGAAAGTAAATAAATAGCTTAATTTCTCGACTAAGAATATCTAGTTCTTTTATATTTAGTTTCCTCTAGAATAAAATAAATTAATATAATAGGTTTCTAAAGAAGATCTAATCTAATTAGGGCTATTTTTAATAATATTAGCTTTATTTTATATATATATATATATTTTTTTTTTAGATAAAATTAATAAGGGATTATATAATAGTAAGGCTCTTATAGTTTTATTTAATATAAATACTACTATATTAAAGTCAGGTTTATAGATTCTATAATAATATATAACTAATTTAATTAAATACTATAGTATTAAAGTTTTTAAAGTTATTCTAAAATAAATTCTATAGATTATTATTACTTTTTCTATATAAAATATACTAATATATTTTAATAATTAGATATTTCTAAAGATTATTTTTTATTATAATTACTAGATTAATTCTATTCTTTTATTTCTTAATTAGCTTCTTTCTTTTATTAGTATTTATATTAAACCGAGTTTAGTTTCTCGCTAATATATATATATATAATTTATAATAAAAGGGGTTTAAAGATAAGATAGTTTATAATAGATTTATAGAAAGGGTTTAGTAATAAAGATATTAGAATATTAAAATAAATATTTTTTTCTTAAAAATTTCGTTTATAATAAGAATTTAGAAAGTAAAATATTATAATTCCGGAAAGATTTAAAGCTTAAAGAATTCAATTTAATAGTAAAATCGAAGTAGTAGTTAAAAAGCTTTAAGGATATATATAAGGCATATATTCCGGAAAAAAGGTCCTATAGATTAGGGTATTATATAAATAGAAAAGATAGTTTCTAAGAAAGTAGTTTTAAGATTAAAAAAAGTTGGTTTTAAAAGATAATAGAAGTTAAATAATTAAATAATTAAATGACTAATTGCTTATTAATTAATAAGAGCTAGATATCTTTTTTATAGGCTATTAAATGCTTTTATAAAGTTAATAAATAGTTCTTTTCTTTAATATAAAATAGACTAGATTTGTTTTAGGCTATTAAATACTTTTAGAACTAATCTAAAATCTTCTTTAATTTATAAATACTAACTAATTAATATTAGTTTACTAGTAATATATAATATAATATATAATATATATAAAATACTTAATATATAAAGTTAGTAAAGTAGTTAATATTTGAAAATAAGAATTATAGTATTATAGTATTAATATATAATCCCTAAATCTACTAAGTCTAATAGGGTTTAGTCTACTAGTCAAGTTATATATAAAATATAAGGTTATATAACTATATTCTATATTTTATATTCTATTACTTATATCTTATTACTTATATCTCGTTTCCTGAATCTCGTAACTATATATATAACTCTCGAAGAAATAGCTATACTAATAATTACTTTAATATAAATTAGTTTATTAACTTTAATAATATCTTTATTAGAAAATAATTAAATAATATAATATAAAATAATAGCTTTATTTTTATTATATTAGATAAGCTTCTCTTTAAGCTTTTTAAAGTTCTTTTTAAGCTTTAACTTTATTATTTCGTTTATTATTTTATTAATTTTATTCTTGCCTTTTCTTTAATTAATATATTAAATATTATATATATTTTTATTTAGTTTAATAATATACCAGACTTTTTTAATATAAAGCTTTAGTAATATCTTATAAAACTATATTTTATAATTTAATTAACTTAAAGCTCGAGCTTAAAAATATTTTTTTATTATTTATAATAATATATTTTATAATTATAAAAGAATAATAATTTAGTATTTTATAATTATAGAATTATAAATAATAAAAGTAAAGATATTTATAACTTATTAGCTATATTTAATTACTAGTATATTACTATTTTTTCTTATATTTCCGAGTTAATAAATTCCTGTTTTCTCTTATATTAAATATTATAATATTTGCTCGAGTTTTTTTATAAAGCTTTATAATAAAAATTATATTTTCTTTTATATTAATTATATAATATAAACGAAGTATTTAATATATAATTTCCCTAAATATTTAAGTAAACCGGAGCTTTATAATTTATTAAAACTATATTTCTTAATCTAATATAATCTAATAAGAAAATAGTATAATAAAAATAAAGGTAAGAGAGAAGACTCGATTATATTAACTAGAAAAAGAAAAAGAAAAAGAGAAATTTCAAACTTTTATAAAGCTGTAATCTCGCTAGTTTATATAATAATACTATATTTATATATAATATTATATAATTTGTTTTTTTAACAAATATTATTTAATTAGAAAATTCAAGTATAATTAAATATCTTAAAGAAAAAGCTAAATAAATAAGAAGTAAAAGTCCTAGTAATATAGCTTTATAAATTATAATAAAAAGTATAAGAAAATATAATATAAATATAAGATTATAATATGATTTAAACTAATAAATATTATTAATTAGTAAACTTTAAAGTAAAAAATAAAGTATAAATTATTATTAAATACTAGAAAAATAACTATTTGAATTACAAACTAGCTTCTTAAATAAAAGGCTTATATAAAATTCTAGAATAAGTTAAATATCTTTTTTTTTATTAAACTTCCGGAATTAATAAGAATATATCCGGTATTTTATATAAAGAAATTATATAAAAACCCAAATAATTCTCTTTTTAAATAAATAAACCTAAAGCCTTTATTATTAAAATTATAAAATCAGAAAACGAGCTATAAAGTTCAAGAAATACTAGTAATAAAGTTGCTTTATAAGAAACTCAAGTATTGAGTTTAATAAAAAGAATAAAATTTAAATTTAAAGTAATATCCGGTATTTTTATTAAATAATAGCCTTTTAATTCTTTAAAACTTCTATAATAAGAATTTCGAATAGCTAGAATTGCTTTAAAATATTTTTTATTAATTGAATTATATTAAGAATAATATATTACCGGAATTATATAATATAAATATAAAAATTTTAATTATATATAAAAGGCCTTTAGTTCTTAATATATAACTTATAACTTGAAAATTTAATAAGAAGTTTTAAAGCTCGGAAATAATATTATAACTATTATAATATATAATATTAATAGAAATTAGATTAGAACTAACTAGATATATAAAATCGAAGTCGAGAAATAAAGTAGAGGTTATATATTATAACTTTATTTAGTAAATATATGAGTCTATATATAGCTTGTAATTATTTAAATTCAAGGCTTCTTCGAGATTTTATTCTCTTCTTTAGCTTTAAATTATTGAAATAAAAATAATCTAATTATGCCTTTTAGGCCCTAGATCTTATACTTATAATAATTATTTAATAATTATTTTACTAATTTTAAATTAAACTAATTATAAATTAAACCAATTATAAAATCTAAATAAAATCTTTCTTTATTCTTAATTAAAAAAATAAAAATAAAAATATATTAATAATTTCTGACTTAATATTTAAGTCTTTATTATAAAATTATATAAAGAATTCCTTTATTAATTTCTTTTTAAATATTAAGAATATTAAAATAATGAGATTAAAAAATAAAAATATTTACTTTGGGTTTTTTAGGAATTTATTTGAGCTTCTTAAGTATTAGTATTAAAATTTGACAAAAGTAATACAAGAGAATAAAGATTAGATCAAGTATAATTAGTTAAAAAGCAAGAAGTCAAAATACGTAATAATTTAGTAAATCTTGCTCAAGATGCTCAGGCTTGCTCAGGTGAGCTACTCGGGGTGCTCGGGGTGCTCAGATTAGTTGCTTAGGGTACTTAGGGTGCTCGGGTGAGTTGCTCAGGTTGCTTACGCAGCTCAGGTGAGTTGACTGAGACGAGGGTGATTAGTGCCTGAGCAAGAGCGGCAAGCTTACTAACTGCATGCGAAGCAGAAAAGAGAGAAAATTGATCGACTATTCCAAAAACACTGAAGCTTTTTCCACCATTTAGGTCCAACCAACTTCTCACGCCCATAGGCAGCAACAACTCAACTCCCAATGCTCTCAGGGCTAAAACATCTCTTCCAACGCTCCCCCTCCTTCGACCAACTGGTCAGAAACGTAACACCCGAGTACCTCATCACCAACCGCCCCCTCGTACGATCTATCTAGCGTCGCGGCGGAGCAAGCTATCTCAAACGCAACTCTCCTACCGACACGCCCCTCTCGTCACTGTACGCCTCTACCATTTCATCGTCACAGACGACATTATCGAACTGCGCAACGAACTCGAATCTTTTTTCAACAGAGCCGAATGGCCAGTAAATGCCATCCTCGACCCAAAAGACACAAATCCTCAGCGCTATGCGATTCTTGCTGTTTTGACAGCGTTGATGTGTAGGGCTTTTAATCGGTTGATTGAGAAGGTTTGCCGAGGAATGCACCGCCTATAACATGGTTGGGGTGCATTGGCTACGCAGCCGACAATACTGGAAGAAGTGCCGCAGTGGGCTACGGAGGTATCGGAATTGGAGACACGACTCGATATCCCAAATGAGAAGGATATCTTTCTGGGGGGCAGATGATCCAAAAGCTTGCAAGGAATTCTTGGCAAAGAACATCTTGATCGAAGATCCTCACATTTATTCTGTGTAAAGTATATGAATACGATATAATCTGACAGGCTCCGTGGAGTATTCTTACAGCCTAACTAGATAATGACAGTGATGGCTTCTCGCCGTCCTTCATCCCGAAAACCACCAACGGAGGACGCATTTACCAAGACCGTACCTCGACGCCCTCCGTCCCCATTTTCTCCGATTCAAGAAACACTGAATATCAGCATTCGCAACAAATCCAACCACGAACCATCGTCCCCAATCGCGCGCTCATAAGCGCTCTCAAAAGAATCCCACACGACCGTTCTTCTGCCATATCCGGCATGGATATGTCCAAAAACATGAAGGAGTGGCGTCTTTGCATGGATTTCTTGCAGGAGAAAGGAACAGCCCAGGTGACCAAGGTCGAGATGGTGTTTTGGCGGGCCATGTGTGAGAAGAATGTCGATATCTTCAGGAACGGACCCTTTCCAAGGGTCTGGCCCAACGCGAGGATACTGGAATGCCCAGTTCCCGTGCTTTGGAGTCCAAGGGCTCCCGTATATTTTTAGTGGTCGGCCTCCATAAAAACAGACTGTGGTGGATGAGTCTTCGAGTAAATTAAAGAACGCCAATCGATTTGCACAGCTTCGTTATTTTCATCTTGCACCTCCATTTTTGAATGATCAAGGCACAGGTCATGATTTCCGGCAATGACTACCTTGAACCTGTGTGGCTGCGAATCAAGCCATTCTATTTGACTTCGCAATTCCTTGAGGGACCCGGATTGGGTGAGATCGCCTGCATGTAAGAGGATATCGCCATCCGGAAGTTGTGGCCGGACATTATGAGTATCTGAAATGCACACAACGCGGATCCCGTCTTTCGGCGCAGGAATGGCAGGCTCCAGTAGAGCATAGAGTGCTTTCGCGAGAAATCTCAATGGTGACGACCAGAATCGCTGAAAAGTGCTTAGCTCGCGTCGACTCAAGAGCGCGTCAAGGCCTGAGGTTGGGGGCGTCATATTTGCGATGGATGTTGATGAAGTTAGAAAATGGTTGCTTCTGTAGATACGACAGTCTCGGAACCCGGCGAAACTAAAATCCGCCTCAAACAATCACGACAGACGATTTCACGGATTGGCCAGGTTTACAACAGATGGTTCAAGTTGCCCCGATCTGCAAAACACTCCTTAGTTTCGAAAAGTTTCCCTCTAGATTGTATTTATCTTGGCCAAGGCCACTAGTTGATACTATCATTTGTTGAACTTTTATCGCACGACCTCCCCTCCGCCCCTCCCCCGGTGACGATTGGGGGTGTCGATTGGGGAGGCGACTGGCCACTAACCCAAAGTAGAGGCGCTTGGACAGGAACACCAAAACTCTGGCTTTTTCTTTAATTAATTTAATTTTATAAGTAATTAATATAATTTAATACTTGTTTCATTTCCTCATAGCGCTAATTAAGAGCCATACAAATATAAACTTTTTATAAAATTTGAATTAGTAATAGCTCTTTAAATTAAAGAAGTTAAATATTTTATATTTTATAGCTTAAAGGTAAGCTTAAGAAAGCCCAGAAATTTAGCGAATAAGTCCCTAAAACCAGATATACGAGCCCTATAAGCCCAAAATTTATAGGGCCTTATAAGGCTTAAAAACTAGAATTTAATTAACTAGTATATAAACTTCCTTAAATTAAAATACTATTTTAGGGAATCTTTTTATTATAAATTAGGAAGCACGTGATTATAATACGAGGGTTATAATATACTAGCTTATACTTATATTTAAAAAATCTAACATTCTTTTTTAAAAGAGCTTCAGTAGCCTATGCAAGTCGTTAATAACCCTGCCCCAATCGACACCCTTAATCGACACCGGGGGGTCGTTTTACTTTTCCCCACTTACCAACCATGTGTGCAGTCTAGTCTCGGCTATTTCTAAAAATAGGCAACAACGATAGGTTGCGTGGCGCTCAGCACGGGCACCGCTTTTCATTTTCCCGTCATTCTATTCTTCCTGCTTAGCATTACTTGTACTTCTTCAGCGAGCATTATTATATCGCCTTGACTTGTATTTGCCCGACGGGGCCATTGATTATTCATGAGTGCCTCCTCTATTTTTGGCAATGGAACCGAGCATGAGGGGAGATGGGTGTCAGAACCAACCAGGCGTGGGACATTTGGCTTGGTCTCAAGTTGTGTTATTACACTTTCTCTATGTGTCTGGAGCTGTGTACATCTCAACTTGCCTGGGCACCGTGGCCACACAAAGCAGATATGGCGAAAAGTCGGTTGGGTAGTCGTGGGCTCGCTGATCCCTGAAATGGTGGTCTTCACTGCGTTTTATCAAAGGCTAGAAGCGAAAGAAATGCTTGAGTTTATGATGGATCACTGCCGCCAGAAGCGTCCTGAACATGAATTATTTGTCCTTCGCCTCAGAAGGTGGCTTGCCCGCTTGAATTTTAGGAAAAAAGATACGCCGTCCTCCAGCGAGGTATGTCAACATTAACGCTTCCGCCGCCAAGTAGATGATTGACTTTCTATAGCCGCCTTCAGACAACTCTCACAAGGTCACATCAACTCATTCCGGATCACGGATGACTTGGACGCTGACACATGGATTTTACGCCACCATGGGTGGCTTCGCCATTGATGGTTCCAAAGCGGAGAGACCCTTTCTCCCGAAGGGTCAAGAACATGTAACATTCACACAGGCTGGCATTAAGATCCTCATACGGCTCGGGTACATGGACGACTTCGAAAATATATCAGTTGACGATATTCGGGACAAGGGCAAGGCTAGCAGCATGGCTAAAGTTCTTGTAGCGATCCAGACGCTGTGGTTCTGCACTCAACTCGTTGCCCGTTTGGCCCAATCTTTGCCCATCAGCCTGCTTGAGCTGAACACATTTGCGCATGGCATATGTACTCTCTTCGCCATATATTTCTGGTGGGAAAAACCGCAAGATATCGAGCAACCTACACTGCTGCCGCTGATTCGTACACAGCCACTGTGTGCATTTCTGTGGATGCATAGCAAACTTAACGAGAATCGACTTGCTTATGGAAAATCGCGGACTTTTTTCGAATACAAAGGCTTCGCAGAGGCACAGTTCTGGGCACCTATGATTAACAGGGGCAGTGGGGGGCCTTCAGGGAAGCCAGCAGGAGGAAAAAATACCATGACTGTTTCAGGCTTGGTCTTCGAAGTCAATTCTGATTCCTGCAGTAATGTCGGAGATTTGCCATCCACTACGGTGCAACCTATACCAGAACAGGCGATTATAGAGCAGATGGTCTCTCTTCCACCATCTGAGCCTTCACCCCCACCAGTCAGGCCGCAAGATCGCAAGGTGTCTTCTAAGCTCGATTCGTCTTCTTCACCCGAGCTGGTAATCAGAAAAGGATGTATGGTTCCCGGCACCATTTTCGCCTTGAAAGACGCGCCGCGAGTGCCTGAGTCAGTCAGCCTGAGTCAAATTGATATTACTAGATTGTCCTTAGCCTCGAAGGTTGCAGAAATTCATCCTGGCCTCTTTGGTCAATCCGGAATGCTCATAATAGAAGAAACGAATTTTCTGGCGCTGCGACTTTCAGAATTGACCATGCACGGTTCTCTCATCGGAGTGCTCGTCATTTCTATAACAGCAATGGTCTATGGTGGGCTTCATTGCATTGCATGGAGCTCCCACAGTTTCGCCACCAATACCGAAAGACTTCTGTGGAGGATATCTTGTCTGGCTCTTATTGCTCCAATTCCATTAGCCATAACTTATCAAGCTTTCTATTCGTTGTTGAGCAATTTATTGCCACGAGTCAAGAAATATGTACCGAGCGCGGCTGTGTCTGCAGGCAGAAGCCTTTCATGGACTGAGAGGCTTTTCTCGAAACTGGTATCGCTTCGTAAACCTCTCCATGATCTTTTTGAAATCTGCTTTCTACTAGCTATTTTCCTGGCTTTTGTACTCGTTATACTCGGGAGGGCCTATCTGATTATTGAGTGCTTTATTAATGTCGGATACCTAGACAGCAGAGTGTTTTTATCCCCTCTATGGACCACTTATTTGCCGCATATCGGTTGAGATTAATGTACTTGCGGTTTCGCAGACCAATGTTAATGGGAATGAATATTCTCCTCTATGTGTTTTCCTTTTCGTGACCTGTCATCACCCTCATTTATAATATGTAAATCCGGCCGCCTATTGGAATACCCACCAAAGCGCAGTCAGTATGTACATGTCTGCCGACAGTTTCATCTTCACAATCTATGCTAAACTCTTTGACAGTGACCTCGTCCGATGATGCCTAGGGCGGTGTTTTCTCACTCTTTACGCTGGACGGGGAAAGACTTACATAGTGATCCTGTTAATCCCGGTTTGTTTTGGAGTAAATTACTTTTGTATACCTATTCCATAGCAAGAAAGGGCTTTCCAACTAGAAGGTTCTTTACATTTGTCACTGTTCTAATATAAATGCACGAGTTTAGGGCAAAATGGGCCGCTCCGCTAAAATTATCGCTGGCGGCCCTACAGCCTCCATCTGCCTTAAGCCTGCTTCTTTGTTGAACTAGCTAAAGCAATATAGCTAGGGTCACGTGCTTGCAATGTAAACCAAGTAAACGGTACTGAATTGACTGCTGTTCTACAGTGGTAAGTAGCCCGTATATATAGCCCTGAACCCCCTAAGTCACATGTACTAAATCCCTATGCCAGCTGAACCGATTACAGCTATACAGGGTATTCCAGCCGTACAGCCGTACAGGGTATTCCAGCTATACAGGGTATTCCAGCTGGACAGGGTATTAAGCTAGTGCACAGCCCCATGGCGTTCGGTTCCAGGGCTTACTAAGCCTATTAGGGGCCTCAGGCCCCTAATTTCAACATTCTTGCGGACTCGCTGACTGTCACGTGCTACGCACAGGCGTATATATAGCTTCTTCACCGCCCTTAGGGCACGATCATTCATACATATATTTACACAAACACACCACATTCCACTTCCACAGCTTGTCCAGGCCGTAACATGGTAGCAATGCCCTAAGATTTCGACCTCCATATCGATACCTTATTGCGAGCTCTTAATTGAGTCCTCGACCCACATACACGCCATCCTCCAGAATAGCCCCCAACCCCAATTATATTGGATATTTTAATCCAGAAGGTGTGGCTATAACCGGAAAGACGGTGGTTTATATAGACGTTTTCGCATTTACGTACATGCTCTTATACTTAGCAGAGACTCAGCAAGACGATATTCGTATAGCCTTTCCCCTCTGCCTTCGTGATACTGCTCTTTTCTGGTACTCCACAGAGCTTATACCCCTGGAACGTCGTCTCCTCTCGTCCGTTCCTGTCTCTGAGATTTGCACTTCTCTTATTTCACGATTTAAACCCCCTCAGCGGTTTAACCAAAAGGATGCCCTTACAGATACCCAAATATAACAGATCGTTCAAGTGGTTCAGCGGATATGCTTGCAAGAGATACCGGCTCCTACTCTCACTACGAGCCCCTCTGCCTCCGCCAATAAAGACGAGGGAGACGAAGAACAACCCTCCACTCCTGCTCTTACGACGAGCCCCTCCACTCCTGCTCTCACGACGAGCCCCTCTGCCCCTGCTCTCACGACGAGCCCCTCTACTCCTGCTCTTATAAAGAGCTCCCTTCCTCTCACTCTTGCTCTCATAACGAGCTCCCTCCTTCCGACAAGCTCACTTCTCATAACGAGCTCTCGTTCCTCCTTCGCAATTTATATTAAAGGGCAAATGGCCCATTTGAATGGCATTGGTTAGGAATAGGGATATTCCTTTTCTTCTTTTTGAGGGGGCATGTCACGTGCTATGTACAGGCATATATATAGCTTCTTCACCGCCCTTAGGGCACGATCATTCATACATATATTTACACAAACACATACATTTCCACTTCCACAGCTTGTCCAGGCCGTGGCACTGACTGACTCAGGGATCAGCCAGGCGGAGCCCCGTCCTCTGGGAAATTCTAAACTGTTGCATGAATTTCCACGGTCCACCTCTATCTGACCCCTGCCCAACTGATCCTGCATCCCTTTATCAGTAAAATGTGCCGCTGATGTGATTCTGCCTTGCTAGGATTTACACGTATATCGTCTTGCAGTATCGCTGGTCCGAGGTGCGGTTTTTTAGATGTGGCATCGATGTTGCATAAATCTCCACCTTTGTCTAACGTTTACCCTGACCGTCCCCTCTTTTGCTCATGAAACTCCGGTGCTGAACGACCCTAGACTGCTTGGATTTCCGTGACTCTCCTGGTGCCACGGGTCACTGGACCGGCTGCTCCCTGACACCGCATCACTGCTACGTTTAATGTCACTATTAGCAGACTTGCCACCGGCGATCTCCCCTTTCGCAGACCCGATGATAGATAATCCCCTCCGGGAACCTTGGGATAACCACTTGGTAAGAAGGTTGAGCTTTGTTATTTTCGCGTTGCACTATGCTCAAGCTGTTCTATCATCGTTAGTATTAGTGGCAGTGGCTACCCTTGAGACATATAGGAATTCTTGGTTGGTGGGCTTCATACTGTGCTTTTGCACTTGTACTCTACGATCCCGGCTTACTTTATTCCAGTCGCCCGCGTTGTTCAGCACGCCCCTCTCAACGGCTCGCTTCACTCACTAATTTCTGACAAGGCCATTACCACCTTCGATCCAGAACAATTATTTAAATTTACTTACTCTCCCAATATTTGATTCACCAGTCACATGGAGGTAAACCTCACCTTCGAATTCTCCGCCAGTCATTTGCGTTTAGCAGTCCACTCTCACCAACCTTCGTCGTGACTAGGATTTCCCTTTGAGGTCCTGGTATTAGCCATCAGGCACTGGAAGGCACCGTCTACTCAGGAATATAAATGGGTCTTCTTATGGTTAGTCTCTCCTTCATTATCACTTGCTTGTAGTTTCGCTCTGAAGCCATAAATCACTGTGAGATTGCAGTATAATATCGACTGAGTATTATTTGAAAGAGTTGGAGCTGGTTGTAGAAAAGTAAAGGGGTTATTACGTGGGGTATTTTAAGCAGTTGTTTTCTTCACTGCTATTCTCATGCAATGTAGGCGGCAAACACCAGTCGCCTGCGTGGAAGCGGTGGTTTATACCAGAATAAGAGAGGTTAATGACAGTGGTGGCACTTTCATTTCGTGGAATAGAAGTTGACTTTTACTTTCGAAACCGACCAGATCTTCGGACGACATGTAAGATTCGCAACTCCTTATCTTCGCTTTTTTATTCAAATCTCAGGATGACATTCATGGAGCTCGCCAATTCCGTGTTATGTTCTTGCAGATTCGGAATGCTGACACCAGCAGACGAGGCTTACCATGGGTAGGAACAAATTAGAAATTTGCTAAGTATTCTCGTATCCCTACAACCTCAATACTTGCCACTCCACGGGGCTTGTCCGCTTGGCGCTTCAACCCCATTAATATCGGCTCTCACAAAGATATGCAGCAACCAACTTGCCAACAACTCAATCGGGGTATCCAACAATGGATCAGCATCATCACCCAGACTCGCCTTCAAAATAGCGGCCAAAGTATTGGTATCCATCGAGATCGACGTCCCCTCTGGACCCCAGCGATACGGGTACCCAACCCAAGCTGGCGTCACATATTCATCAGGACTGCCCTTTAACCAATCTGCAGCCACAACCTGGTACTTTTTCGAACAATCGAGACTTAATCCACCGTCCGCTGTACTATTGACCAAGTTGAACTCCAGACCCACTGGAATCCCCAACACCTTCCTGTGTTCTGAGAAATTCGGACCCGGGGCGGGGAAATTTGCATGGCCATTCAAGCTGGAATAGATCACCGGATGCATACCATTGACCATCTTGAAGAGCTTTGGGATCTCGTCCTTGCCGTGCAAGACGTTCGTGCCGTGTTCCGAAAGAATAATCCCGATCATCTCTTTACTCGCATTGTCGATGCGAATTGAAGTGTACTCCCAATCCGCCCAGTGCTCCCCCCTAGATAGCCCGGAAGTCAGCAATCGCCCCTGACAGATCGTCTCGGAAGATGTGGAAATTATGAAATAGGTGAAAAACTCTTCCTCAACACATACAACGGAGTGAGATCAACATCGCCCTGATGCTTGACTTTGTTCAAAAGCAGGCTGCTAAATTGCGCTGTTCCATGTCCATTGTAAGCGCTAAAGAACCAAAATTGCAGGTCGGTGTAAGTTGTGGTTTTGATCCAGAGAGCGTTGACGTAGGCTTTTGCTGTGCTGAAGTCTCCTGCCTTGACCGACGGGTCCATGTGGAAAGAGTACCGTGTGCCCTCTCTTGGTCCTTGGGGAAGTTGGGATTGGAGTGGGTGGACGATGTTGTTCTTCGGATCTTTGCTGTCGATCAAAGTTGCCTGGGAAAGGTAATACTCGACAGAGCAGTTCACGTACTTTTCGTTGGGGTGGAGTTGGAGGACTGGAGCGTACTTTGCAATGGCTGCTTCAATGTCAGCTCGAGTGAGTGGTGGTGTCATGATGGGAGGTATGGATAACTGCGTGAAAGCAAGATAGTATATGACAAGAAAGTGTTGACTGTGAGACAGCAATGTTTTGAAGAGAGTATTCAGTCGGAGATGATGGCCAATTTCGAGAGGAAGGCAAGCATGGAGAGGTTATATCGTCGAAAGTTGGTGAGACATGATGTTCAGCTGATAAAATACAGCCATGTGGGCTGCGCAAATGATGACAACCATTTTTTTCGAGGAATGGCCAGACTATGAGACAAAATGCAGCCAAGGTGCAAAGCATCGGCTGATATGCTGTGGATTGCTGCAAGTGGCTTGGGACGTAAGAAGGCTTTCAGCCCATGATCAGCCCACAAAATTCGAGTAACACAAAATTCGGCTTAAAGGCCCAGGCCCAAGAATAGTGGTGACAGGAAACTGAACTCATTATTAAGGCTGGAATGGTACAATGAGTGAACATTGACAAAGCATTACGTTAGTAATAACTTCAAGGATGATGACTCCCGGTGATCTCTAACCTCTTTACTCGACCCGTCAAGCGCACCTCAAATTGCCCCAGCGCAAACATCACCTTGACGCTTTTGAAAGCAATAACTTCGAATATCCCCTTCGCGCATTAGGAATATGATTCTCAATCATCATTAAACGGATTGTTTTTCCCTTTCCAAGAATTTTCCAGACTGCGAAAACAATTGCGGTTCCTACGTCCACTTCTACGGAATCGATCTGAAACTCGGTCATGCACTTCTACATTGCTTGATCCCAGGAGCCTCATGGCATTCATAGAAGAAGTTACATCTTAGGTCGAATTATAGTTCTCGGCTTACCGTGCTCATAACGACATTGCCGCTGTCCGCGCTCACATGGTCAGAGAGTCAGATTTCACAGTGAGTTTTAGGAATTCAAAGTCCAACCCTAAAAGATAACAGCAAACCTGCTAATGTCTGATCATGAATCTATTTTGTATGATCTGTTGATTTAGCTTTTTTGAAATATGGGTATCCGCCGTTGTGTCCCGTCCGTGTTCGTGATAATTTTTGCGAGCTTCCTGATGGGATAAGACTGAGACGGTGTCGTTTCATAGCATGTCGCACAGGCAAGTAATCGAATCCATCATGGAAAAGCGGAGGTCCTAGCCAATCCTAGAGCACGGGAGAGCAGATTCATCAGTCCTTTTCTATTTCGGTTTGTGCGGGTTATACAGCCTCCGACAACAATAACAAAAAATGGAATTTGGCAGATCTCTCTCAAGGAGTCGAACACAGGTTTTTCGATTTTTGTCGTATAATGACAGAGTTCCCCACGGTCGTTTGTCTGATTCTGATATATGAAGGCAAGTCGGTAGTGAGCCTCGGCCAGTAAGTTGGAGCAAGAAGGACCTGTTGGATAATGGGATTTGCCGATAGACAAGAGTATCTTCATCCGATCCAGATATCCATAACCCATCTTTTTGTGAGTAAGATGAGGAGATAGGGTGAAAACTTCTGCAAAAGAGTTTGGCAAGAATTTTGCGATATGAAGGAGAAGCTCAGAGGGAAGTTCTGGCAGCGAAAGATTCTGGCGGGCTTTAAAGCCATTGCCACAGAAGTCAGTGGCCTTCAGAAGCTCCGCCATTCGGCATTCCTCCCGCCATTGTCTTCGAAACTCTACATGTCTGTAGAGCTGATGGCGGAATATGCTAGTATGATTTCCGGCTATGTTCTGGAAAGAGAACAGCATTTCGAACAGTATGGCGTGGACTCGAAATGGGAGAAGGAAATTGGAAGTGCTACTTGAGGACCCTTGGGAGCGGCTTGGCAACGGGAAGAGTTGGTAAATGCGTTGAGATGGTAAGGGTACTTATTAATAGATTTATGCAATTAGCCACCGTAGTGGCTATTATACTTTCGCGTGAGCAATTAACTTGGCAAGGGGAACTTGGCAAGGGGGAAGATGCTAAGGTGCAGGTTATTCTGGTTCGGAAAAGGGCCTAGAAAGAAGCTCATTCCTACCCGGCGAAATTGAAGAAGCCAAGCTACTGTACTGATCTTCGAAACAAACTCATAAAGACCAACCCCAGATGTTTCACTCTTGAGTTCCTTGTTGAAATTATTGAAATCGATATGGAGGAAAACAGGAAGGGCATTCGTGGGAACCTGGAGTTTTGACTCTACTTTCGGACAGATCCTAATTTAGGCTTGACACTGAACTAGGCGCAATCCGGTATCGACTGAATGAATAATAGGGCCTAAGCCATGCAACCATGACATTGGGCCAGGCATCTGTCCTCAGTTCGTTGCGAATGAACGCGGGCCGGGATTACCGTCCAGTATTTCGAAACCGAAGACACGTGAGACAACCATCCAAGCCTCGCCATGCTTTTTTGCCCTTGGCTTCAATGGTCGTGCTTCCATCATCCCGTTTTCTAAGGCTGCGGCGAGCTGATATGTGACGTGGACCAATTAAACAAGAGCATTAGCGAAAGAGGGCTGGGAAAAATCCAAGAGGCTCAGCTGAAGATGACGCACCTCAGCACCTGCAGATCCACCAAATCACAAAACGATGTGATTGGTAGGCCCCTTATACCAAGGCGAAATTTTGCACGATAGCTACATGAATACGTAACATACCTCTTGACTGATATTAGATGATGTTCATTTTAACTCACCCTTGCCAGTCCCTTGTAGGCACCCCTCTTTCCAAATTCTTGCTCCACGCCACGTGACATACAAGCAGTGTGAGAAATGAATAGATTAGATTAGATTAATGGCTATTAATCTAATCTATTCATGAATATTCATGATTAATTATTCTAATCTAATCAAATACATAAGTATCACGTTAACCAAATTCTGTTCACGCTATTCATGAATATTCATGAATTAATCAATTAATCAGATTAATTTTTTCGCACACTGCATACAAGCTTCGTCTGCAGCAAGATGGCTTCTACTCTCGGGAAAGCTGTGGCAGGTTTCTTGATCGTCTGGGGCGATTGTCAAACAGGTCGATTCAGCGTTTGGCGTTAACCCAGGAAATCCCACTATTGCTATAACCTATAACTTCTTTTATACGATGCCTTCGGGAATTATAGGAGGCTATTTTATTTCTCATTTACCCCAGCTCATCATATCAATATTATACCTGGTATTCCTTAGTTGGATATCAAGAATCGTTAGTGCAAGAGAATAGGCTTGCACGGGTCTCTTCCATCAGCCATTGCACGTGACGGAACCGCAAGGGCAATAGTGTTGAACTAGCTAAATAATAAAGCTAGGGTCACGTGCTTGCAATGTAAACCAAGTAAAACGTACTGAATTGACTGCTGTCCTATAGTGGTAAGTAGCCCGTATATATAGCCCTGAACACCCTAAATCACATGCACTAAATCCCTATACTAGCTGAACCGATTCCAGCTATACAGGGTATTCCAGCTATACAGGGTATTCCAGCCGTACAGGGTATTCCAGCTATATAGGGTATTCCAGCTATACAGGGTATTCCAGCTATATAGGGTATTAAGCTAGTGCACAGCCCTATGGCGTTCGGTTCCAGGGCTTACTAAGCCTATTAGGGGCCTCAGGCCCCTAATTTCAATAGTCCCCTTACATACCACTGAAAACAGCCCTAAGGAAATAATTCCAAAAATCACCGCTTTACTTACTAAAGCTCCCAGAGCCTTAGTACCCAAAAATCAAAAACAGCCCAAAAACAGCTTGTAATTCCATAATTACAGTGCAAATAGCCCCTTAATGCAGCGCCTAAGGGCCGCAAGTGATAGGGGCTTGGTAAGCATATTAGCTACTATTTCTTTAGTAGGGATATACTTAATAGTAACCTTATTAAAGGCTACTAGCTCCCTAATATAATAGTAGCGGACGTTAATATGCTTGGTTCGGCTATAAGCTATAGGGTCCCTAGCCAGTACTATACAACCCTGATTATTACTAAATATAGGGGTTGAGAGGGTTATATCTAAATATTAGGTATGTTTAAGCTCCCTAAGTAAAGCTCTGATCTACTGGCCCTGTTTACTAGCCTCTAATAGGCTAATATACTCCGATTGGGTAGTAGAAGTGGCCATATAGTACTATTTAATAGAGGACCACGTAATAGGTCCCCTATTAAGCAGGTATAAGTGCCCTATAATAGAGTGTCTATTTACTATATCCCCTGTAAAATCTGTATTACTAAAGCCCTGAAGCTTAGGGCTTTTAGTATTCCCGATACTATACGAGATATTATAATTTATAGTACTTTTTAGGTAGCGGAATACCCTTAGTATGGTATTCTAATACCGTATAGTGGGTTCGCTATAGTACTAGCTAAGCTATCTAATTATATAAGTAATATTAGGGCGGGAGCCTTTTGAAACTCATATAGTACAGCCTATAGCCTCCTGGTATAGGCTCTAATTAGCCTATTTCTTCCCTAATTAGCCCGTAATTAGGGTATTCCGGTCGTTTATAGAGAGGTTTATAGGCTTAGCTTTCCCTAGCCTGAATCTCTCTATAAGGCCTGTAATATACTTACTCTAATTAAGGTATAGAATGCGTTTTATATAATCTTTATATACTCAAATACCCAAAATTAGGGCCATATTCCCCAAATTCTTGATTTCCTATAGGGAGGCTATTCTATTAATAACCTTCTGAATAGCCTATAAATTATAGCCCAGAACTAGTATATTGTCTATATAGAGTCCTATAATTATACTATAATCTATAGTAGTAAAAATGCTTGGTTTATTGAAATAGGAACTAAAACCGAGGGTTTTAAGCCCTATATAGGCTTTAATATATTACTTTCTTTCTAATTACTTAAGCCTATATAGGGAATTAAACAGGAGAAGTACTAAGCCTTTAGTATACTTTAGTACTTAAGGGGCCCGTATATATACCTTAGTATAGAGCTTAAAGTATAGATAGGTACTAATTATATTAATTTAATATATTTCCAGGTCCTTATAAGCCCCTAAAGCCAGTAAAATCCTTAGGCTTTTAGCCCTAATAATAGGGCTAAAAGTCTTTAGGAAATCGTTCTCTGGAACCTG